GCTGGCGGGCGGCGGCGCGGAGCCGCGCAAGCTGAGCCGCACGCCCAAGTGCGCGCGCTGCCGCAACCACGGCGTGGTGTCCTGCCTCAAGGGCCACAAGCGCTTCTGCCGCTGGCGCGACTGCCAGTGCGCCAACTGCCTGCTGGTGGTGGAGCGGCAGCGCGTCATGGCCGCCCAGGTGGCGCTCCGGAGGCAGCAGGCCACCGAGGTGCGTACCCGCCGGGCCCGGGGCGCGCTCGCCCGGGCGTCGGGGGTCATTCTGGGCGTCGGGGAGCCGGAGGGGACGTGGCTGCTCCCCACACACCCGGGCCCAGGGCCTCTTGGCGCCTGGCACGTCCTCGCAAGGGTGTTGGGATCACTTCCTTCCCCACGCTGGCCTGCAGGGTCGGGAGGGAGGCAGCCGTGCGTGGGCCTCGTTGGGGAACTTGGCAGAAAAGATTTTGTATTAAAAAGCAGAGAGGCCTTGAAAGTGGTTAGACCCTTGGGGACATTATGGGAAAGGCATTTTATTTTTTCTTTTACGTTTTAAAGTTTATTTTGGTGGCGTTGGGGTGGAGGACGGTGGTTGCGAATGCTCAGCGCTGTACTGTTGTGCTGATCGCGCAAAAGAACCACGCAGCACGCGGTGCACACAGTGCTCCCGCTGTCACGGGCCGTATAAGATAGGCAGAACGCGTTGCCCACTTTACAGATGAGACCAAAAGTGGCAGGGAGGTTAGTCGCCAAGGTCAGGCAGCCAGAAGCTTCTGGCCCTGAGAATTGCCTAAGAGCCGGCGGAGGGATCTCTGCCGCCTCCCACCGTGGGGCTCCAGCTGTGAGGAGAGCCAGGGTTTTCTTGATGGGAGAGGCTCTTGAACCTCGGCCTGTTTCCGTATGTTCCTACACAGGAGAGCTCAGAGAAAGGGAGGCTTCGCGGGGCAGCCTCGCAGACTCAGGGCGTGGGAGGATTTTTGATTTTACTTTTTGGCGAGAAGGGGCTGGGAAGTGGATATCGCCATACACACCGAAGGCAGTGACCCTAATGGAAAGCCTTCCAAGGGCCCGGGAGAGCGCGCTGGATGCGCGAGGTGGCCCTGGCCCTGGGCTCGGCCTCCTTCCGCGGCCGGCGTGTTTCACCGCGGGCCCTGCGTTCCCTGCGGCCTGCTGGGCTGGACGCGGGCGTAGAAAGGCCCAGATTCCTACCAACCAGGCGGCGGCGGCGGGAGTGAGGGCAGGGTTCCCCTTGTCCTGAGTCCCCGGCGGCCTCCAAGGGTTTTGTTCACCTTCATGCGCCCCAGTCGCTCAGTAAACAATCCGGAGGTTTTGGCCAGACCCAGGAGAGTGCTGAGAACTCCTTTCTCTCCCTCAACGCCTGGCACCCCGTCCCATCCCCCTCCTTTGGGGAGAAACCAGCTCCACATCACTGCCCTATGGCAGGCCGTGGGCACCTCTGGCCCTACCCGTGGCGGCCTAGAAGGCAGCGGTAGGCGCAGCTGCCTTTTAGGGCTGCGCTCCTACCGTCTCCTAGATTGTGGATTTCACCTTCGTCCGGCATGTCGCTCCCACTGCTGGCTGCGGGGCGAGACTGGGGTGACAAAGCGGCCCCTGGGAGAGCCGGAGGCCCTGCTCACCAGGTGGCGGCTTCTGACAGAGCTTCTAGCTCGTTGCCCTGGAATTAAGGGGTGCTGATGTTAATTCGTTTGCAATCATTTTCACAGGGTCTGGGGAAAGAAATACATTTAGACCAGGGAGAGTTGCTGTCGTCCTTTCTTTCTCGCTTCTTTCCCACGTTTTCTTTCAGGGCATTATTGATTCTGTTTCTTGTGTTTACAGGACAAGAAGGGGCTTTCCGGGAAACAGAATAATTTTGAGCGCAAAGCCGTGTATCAGAGGCAAGTCAGGGCACCCAGTTTGCTGGCCAAAAGCATTTTAGAAGGTAAAACTACGCAAAATTATCCTTTAGCCTTTTAAACCGAGTTCTGAGTGAATCTCATCATTCAGGCACATGGTCTCTGGTTAACCTGTGAAGGGGCAATCTGAGGGGAAGGTACGTGTTATTAGAAAGTTTTCCTCTAGGAAGGAGATCAGGACGTGGGAAAATGAATCTCACACACCTCCTGAGGTTTTGTCATTGATAATTTTGTTGTCTGTTTAATAGTTAATGGGGTAGCATGGAATGCATATGAAATTTGCCCTAGTGTGAGGGATGTACAAGATACACTGCCAAGTGATTCCGGAGCAGATGTCTTGGAAGGAAAGAAATTAAAAAAAAATTTTCTTTAGTCTTAGTTGGAGCTAAATAGAGTAAGTCAAGTGAGGAATTAAACAGCTACCCATACCAATAAGACCTCTAGTCAGGGCCATCCAACCTCTAATCCCATTCTTTTTCTTTGTACAATTTTCCTCGCTGGATTATCTACATAATTGTGGTTATTCCACACTTCATTTTACTATTTTTGACAGTTGAGATGGTAGAATCTGGGAAAGGCTTTGAATCAAACGAGAAGTGGAGGTTAAATTTGAACAGTGTGAAGTCTCTAAGTCTCCATGTTTTCGCTTTTTCTAAAGCCTGGGAATACATTAATTTTCTTAAAATATTACTGATTTTTAAAAGCATCTCTGTTTAGGTATGGAATTTATTTATTGACCTGGTAAATAATATGTTGACTACATTTCACTGTTTAAAGAAAAGGAAAGTTTACATTTGTTTTAATCACTACCATTTCATAAAATTCTGGTTGAAATGCAGATTTTTAAAAAAAGTAGACACGAGTTCTGTTTTTTCTTGTGTGGCTACTGAATTGAGTTGGTTCTGGACAGATTTTAAAGTTTGTTCATGTCTTACCCTGTGCTGTGTACTTCTGACCTTAGAATGGTTTCTCATGCATTAAAAATGAATTTGGTTACAAACTGGGTAAACAGATTTATAACCATAGGGACCAGACCGATAAACTGAAATGGTGCCAAAGCAACTTGAGGAGTGGGAAGGCTAAATGGAATAGTAAATTCAAGTAAATAACTTCCTGGCAAAAACTTACCATAGAAATGGAAACATTAATTTTCAAATTTTATTTTATTTGCAAATGAGGAGGGGTTTGTCACTATGTAAACACAACCATTACAATGGATCTTTTAAACAAATTTGATAGTGGTGAGTGCTCCCGGATGATGAAATACTCAAAGTATTTTATGCCGCCAGGAATTCTATTTATGTCACACTGATCTTTGTTTTTGACTTTGTCCCTGTTCATAAAATATGTGATGACTTAACCGATGTTCTAATGAGTGCTTGTTCAACCCTTTTGGTTTCTGGCCAACATGATTAGAACTTGGAAAATTGTTTGAGACCAGTTATTTTCAATATAGCAGGGGATCCCCCATCCACTTTTGTTTGTACTAGTTGTCAGGGGTAGGGGACTGGTTAAATTGTTCACTGCAAAGTCTGTTTGACTAGTTAACAGCTCTTTTAAATTTTCTATGCTTCTCTGTTTCCTTAAGTCTTTTCTCTTTTTCTCCTCACTAATCTGCTTTAACTTTCTCTTTTTTCCTAGTTCTCCTTGGATTATTCTACAACTGTAACAATGTGTACATAATGAGCCATCTTTAGAAAATAAAAGTGACATCAGCTCTAGGTATAGATATCTTTTTTAATAATGGAAAAGATGACATGGATAGTAATAAAGCATTGACGGAAGCAAGATGAACAGCCTTGTCTCTTAATATATAGGAGTCTGGGAAGAATATTAAAATTTCAGCCAGTAAAGTATGGCTGTTAAAGTAAACAAACAAACCCAAAACACAAAAACAACAATAAAAAAAAGTTACACTATGGATATCCTTCCCCGCAAAGGGAACTATTTTAAATTGAAACTTATACTTTTGCTTTCTGTGTGAGAATATTAGTGATATAGAACTGTAAATAATTGTTCTGCTGATTTGCAGTGTTTCTGTTGCCTTCTGGGTTTCCAGATTTTTCCTCCCTGGATGTTAATCTCTTTCCTATGCAATACTTGCTGATTTTAGGCTACCGCCCCATTCCTGCAGAGACTTATGTGGGAGGGAGCTTACCTCTACCGCCCCCAGTAAGTGACCGGATGAGGAAACGACGGGCCTTTGCTGATAAAGAGTTGGAGAACATTATGCTGGAGAGAGAATATAAAGAGAGGGAGATGTTGGAAGCTTCCCAAGCTGCTGCCTTGTTCCTGCCCAGCCGCATGGTGCATGGACCTGAATACACCTCCTACAAAAGTGCTTACAGCCCCACACCGGTGGAACCGCCCAGCAAAGACTTCTGCAATTTTTTGCCCACCTGCCTTGACCTAACCATGCAGTATTCAGGGTCTGGGAATATGGAACTGATTTCTTCCAATGTCAGTGTGGCCACGACTTACAGACAGTATCCTTTGTCCTCGAGATTTTTAGTTTGGCCCAAGTGCGGCCCCATGAGTGACACCCTCCTCTACCAGCAGTGCCTGCTAAATGCCACCACCTCAGTTCAAGCCCTGAAGCCGGGAGCCAGCTGGGACTTGAAGGGGGTACGCATCCAGGATGGACTGGGTGCAGAACACGACATGATGCCACCAAAATTAGAAGGCTCTCTTGTGCTGCCTCACACTCCTGAGGCCCAGACCTCCAGAAATGAGCTTCAAGGTCACCAGGCCATCCCTGAGAGGTCTGCATTCTCCCCGCCCCGACGGAATTTCTCTCCCATTGTTGACACGGACTCCCTGGCAGCTCAAGGGCACGTCTTAACCAAGATCAGCAAAGAAAGCACCAGGCACCCTCTGCCACTTAAACATAATCCATTCCACTCATTATTCCAGCAGACTCTTAATGACAAATCAGGTCCCGAGTTGAAAACGCCATTTGTCAAAGAGGCCTTTGAAGAGGCTCCTAAGAAACACAGAGAGTGTTTAGTCAAGGAGAACCAGAAGTACACATTTACAATAGATAGATACGCAAAAGACCTTTTCGTAGCCAAACAAGTTGGAACAAAACTCTCAGTGAATGAACCACTGTCATTTTCTGTTGAGTCTATTCTTAAGAGGCCTTCGTCTGCCATCACTCATGTCTCTCAGTGAAAGTCTGCTTAAACAGAAAGCTGGATTTTCTGCAGTCGCAGAGGGTTCTTACCAGTCACTAATTTTTTTAAGAAAAAAGATGTTTGTATAAAGAAATTTCTAATGTAAATGATGATGATTTAAGAAATTCTATATATTCATATGCATGTACTTTTTCTCGCCACATAAATATATTTAAACTTAAATATGGAAATTACTTATGTGCAAATTGTAAAGTTCCACACTTTACATAGCATTTCAAAAAGCAATAAAATTGACAGTGTCTTCTAAAAGACCCAGTATTTGCTGAAGTAAATAGTTGTCTCTGTCTAGATGACAAAACTAGTGTCTATGAAATGTGTTCTTTATTTTTCTATGATTCTGTGTATTTTCAAGTGCTCTTAATGGTCCCTGGGGGCTACAGGAGAATCCTTATAATGCCTTACTTTTGCACTTTGGAAGGCATGTAAATTTAGCTATTTAAGACTGAGGCAAAAATAGCTTTAAGGAGAATATAGGGCAGAATTGTATGTTTATAGAATCTTAATTTCATGAGATTGGACAAAGATGAATTAATTTGAAGAGAAATCAAGTTTAATATCTCATTTATACCATGACATGGGTTCTTGGAATGGATTTCTTAACTCTGGGTCCCTGTCTCCTTGGCTGGTGGGTATGTGTGTGTGGCCTCAAGCGTCCTTTCTAGATTGAAGATTCTATGATTTTAGGTTGCTAGGGGCCACAGAGCAGGTTCCCTTGGAAGGTGTGGTCAGTTCACACCATGGTGGTATGTGGTTGAACCCCTTCTCAGCTCTTGTGTTACTTCACCATTTCCTGAGGACTGGTGTCAACAAGCATTTAGAGGCAGGCCCAGTTACAGCTCTCAGTTGGTTCCGGAGGATCAGCTTTATGCCTGCCACATTTTCACCAGTGTCTAAGGTTTTCACTGTAGCTCTCTCTTGAGATAAAACATTTCCTATTCAAATTGCTTCAGCTGACAGTCGCTGAAGCCTGCAGATATTTATCACAACATGAGGGTGGCTTCTTGATTCTTAAACCTTTCCCCTCTGTTTTGAAGTTCATTATTAGCCTCTTGTTTTGCTCAACAAAATGTTAGCTGTTGTTCTATGTGACTGATAAAATGGGAATCAGACATTTATGAAAGTATTAAATTCATCCCTGAAGACCTCATCTGTGGACCCCATATCAAGTTCTAAGATGTTATAGTCATTTCAACACAGAAAATCAAGCACCAAATATCTCATCCTTAATTTCACCATGGAGTGAGTTTTTGCTTCTAACTTTACTCTCATTTGGGTCACAGGAACACTAGGTGGGCATGTGGCCTGGGCCAAGATATTCGGCAAAGAGTTTCTTTCTTACTCTGGAAAACGTTGAAAATTATTTAAAAATGATTTTGCTACTGAGGAGCTCATGTAAACCTCCAGGGGTTCTCTGAATTATTGCTTAAAATTAGCATCAATTTCAAAAACAACAAGCCAAACCTTAGATTCATTTTCAGTTTGTACTTGTAAAATAATATTTGGTTTTGTTGAGTCAAATTTATTTATTTTTACTATTGCGAAAGCCAGAGCGAATGGAAGTCTGCCAGAGGAAAAGAAAATGAAAGCGGGCAGAGATCCCAGTAACTGTTGAAGATTATCATTAAGTGGAAAAATGTTTTCCAGCCACAAATGCCCTGGTGTCAGAGACAGAATCTAACTGCACTCGGCTCTCTGCCTCCCTGCCGCACCCCCGTCATCTTTGTTTTATCTATACAGTTATTAATTTGTATCTTCCTATCAGGAATCTATTTTTTTGTGTCAAGTGTTAAGTATAAACTTAGCATTGAATCTAACTGCTGCAGAGGTAATGAGGGAAAACACATTAGAATAAACCCACATAAAAAACAAATCCCAGATTTTGAGAAGGCGTTGTCTATCCAAACATGGATTGTCTCTTTTTCTTACTCTATTTTAGTATTTTGAATACTTATATTGGTCAACTTTTTCCCTTTTATGTTCAATTAACAGTTTGGGATGTCTTTTCTGTCCTCTATCTATATCATTTTACTCTCATTAAGTGAATCCAGTTAGCTGTGGGTATTCGTGGTTTTTCTCACATTACGAGTGACCAGAATTTTATTGTTCTTGAACATTTATGAGGGTCGGTACTGTACTTGGTGAATTTATTATTATCCCATGCCTTAGTTCTGTTGTATTGATGAGTTCTTCTTGGAATTTCAAACCTGCCAAATCTCCCATCAGCCACTCAATGAGAACTTTGTGCTTGGCTCTTTGCTTCTTGAGTCATTTCACTTCCATAAAAGCTATTTGACTATTTAGAGTCTTCAAAGGACTGTCATCAACATATTAAATCAAGCTTGTGATTCCATTTAAGCATTTGCTGTGTTCAAGGCAGTAAATGGATTTGGCTTTTATCATTTTTAGAACGTAAAGAATAGTAAAACATGAACTCAACATACAATAATGCTGCTTTAATAATGTATTTTTCTTCCGTCTCAACTGATCAAGCGTTATTATTTTTTGCTCCATTTGCAGTTCTGAGTAGTTTACAGCAGTGCTTCTCAAACTTGAATGGACAATGAATCACCCGGGAATCTTGATAAATGCAAATTCTGATTCAGTACGTCTGAGGTGGGCCTGAGATTCTGCATTTCTAACAAACTCCCAGGGTATGCTGATGTTGCTGGTCTTCAGACCACACTTTGAGTAGCAAATATTTACAACATTTCTGTTATTTTAATACACATTTAATACACTCTTCTGTGGGTTTTGGATCCTAATGCAATAGAGTTATCAAGAATAATTTAATAGACGTGAATAGGGGCCGGCCTGGTGGCATAGTGGTTAAGTTCGTGCCGTCTGCTTCCGCTGTGGGGTTCGCCAGTTCGGATGCTGGGCGCGACCTACTCACCGCTCGTTGAGCCATGCTGTGGGGGCATCTCACAGAAGAACTAGAAGGATGTACAACTAGGATATACAACTATGTACTGGGGCTTTGGGGAGAAAAAAAAAGAGGAAGATTGGCAACAGATGTTAGCTCAGGGCAAATTTTCCTAAAAAAAAAAAATATATATATATATATATATAATATATATATATTATAAATATATATATACATGAATAATGTAAAAAACATTTTCCTCCAAACCCATAGAATGTACAACACCAAGAATGAACCATAATGTAAACTATGGACTTTGAGTGATTATGATGTGTTAATGAAGGTTCATCAATTGTAACAAATGTGCCACTCTCATGGGGGATGTTAATAATGGGGGAGGCTATGCATGTGTTGAGGTAGGGGGAAATGAGAAATATCTGTATCTTCCCCTCAATTTTGCCCTGAACATAAAACTATTCTAAAAAAAATAAAATCAATTCAAAAAATTCCCTTTCTTTTAACCCTTTCGTGGCTGAAGTAGGACAAGACCTAGGCAAAGTCATGAAGTAGACAAATTGCTTCCCTTCTCTTTTTTTTTCGAAACATAGCAGTTCTTTTAATTTGGTTAAAAACATAATATATATTTTTAATTGTGGTAAAATACCCATAATATAAAATTTAGCATCGTAACAATTTTTAAGTGTACAGTTCAGTGGTATAAAGTACGTTCACATTGTTGTGCAACCATCACCACCATCCATCTCCAGAACTCTTTTCATCTTGCAAAACTGAAACTCTGTACCCATTACACAATAATTCCCTCCTCCCCCCAGCCCCTGGCAATCACCATTTTACTTTCTATCTCTATGAATTTGACTACTCTAGGGACCTCATATAAGTGGAATCATACTGTATTTGTCCTTTTGTGACTGACATTTCACTTTGAATAATGTCCTCAAGGTTCATTCATGCTGTAGCAGTGTCAGAATTTTCTTTCTTCTTAAAGATGAATAATATTCCATTGTATGCACATACCACATTTTGTTTATCCATTCATCTGTTGACGGGCACTTGGGTTGCTTCCACCTTTGGGCTCCTGTGAATAATGCTCCTATGAACATGGGTGTACAAATATCTTTTCACCCAGTCCTCACTTCCTGATTTCACCTTCTTCTCGTCTTCAGGAGCTCGGTTTTCTCAAATGTGTATACCTTCCACATTCTCCTCCCTCCCCCAGCTTGTGGATCATCTCCATTCCTCACCAAGGTAACATCATCCTACCCAGAGAGGCTCCAATACCAGTTGTGAACGTTTTCATGCAAGTTTAAGTGGGTGTATTATCACATCATTTGCATTTAAAAGCTTAATTCTAATTGAGGAACGAATGACTTGTATTAACTTGTATTAAGAAACTTTCTGGAATTCCTTCTGCAAAGTCTCAGCAGTGCTAAAGAGCAAAGAAATGGCTGAAGGTCAAGATGAAGAAAGAAGGAGGATCCACAATTCCCTGTAGAATGATAAAGCCATCACTTAGTGTCAAGGCTGGGTTTTCAAACGGGACTAGAATTCCTACTGACTCTCCAGATTTTGATTTATTTTTGGATTAACTTTGTTCCTATTCTAGGTTTGTATGCTCAGGCTTATTTCCTTCTAGGGTCCAATTTGTAGGGCTGATAATTCTTGAGATGGCTGGATCATGCATTATATACATTTTGTGGCATCTACTTATATTTATTTTAGTGATTGTACTAAGCTTTTATCGTACTTCACCAACCTTACTTATTTTGGTTTTTAGCTTGTTATATCTAAACACATTTAGGTCATGCTGGACAAAGATACCTGGAAATAGATTGACATCTGGCGTAATGGTAAGTGTGTCATAATAATAATTAACATGTGTTTAGTGCCTGCTAATTAACAGAGCACATTCACATTTATTAACTCTTTTGTTTCTCATATAAATTCTATATAAAATTGGCAAATGGCCATATAAAAGTTGAATCCACATCTCTGTGTGTGTGTACACAAATTTCAGGATTTTTTTCCAATTTACAACATCACTTGATATGGCCTAATCTATCTCTCAGATTTTGTATGTAAATGTTAAGTGTATCTAATGCTTATGTATGATGTATATGATGCATTATATATGCATAATGTTACTTGTATTACTGCATATATCTCTATGTAGAAACATTTGCATATCTGTCCCAACTTCATTAAGTCACACACACACACACACGCGTGCACACACACACAATCTCACGCAGTTGTGCAGACAATTGAGGTAAAGAAGGAGGAAGAGAACCTCCTGGGGAAGCACAGTTGACTGACAGCGCCAGCTGTCACACCTTTGGATCCCCTGTGGTGTTCAGGCCAAGGCCGCACTTT